AATCAGGAGGTCTTAGACACAGGTTCAAATGACTGGCTAGGGTCTTGGACATGGGGAAAAGGCCTTTTAGGTGGTGGAAGTATTCATAGCAAAAGGTTCCACATTTCCCGAACACACAAACACAGTCAGCAACCCGGTATTTTCTTTCTGCTATCCTGCATTACTCAATATCTTAAGAGCACAAGAGCGAAGGAGGCATAAACATCAGCATTTCCAAGCCAGACTGCTAAGAAACACTACTTACTGGGTATTATTCAGATTTTTGGTAGTGGCTCTCTTTTACTTTCAATTTTTTTTTTGTTTTTCTTTTATTCTTCTTTTCATTTCTTAAGAGAGCCACCACTCCTGCACATATTTCAAACATCCGCCCAACTTTTAAGCACTACCTCCAACACTCACATAGACTTTAGCAGAAACAGCAGAGAATATATAAAAACCACTCTGTGGAACCTTCTAAAAGATGCAACAAGGGTGATTTCTTTTCATTATAGACCAAAAGAAAGGATAACACACGGCTCAAAGGGGCTGACTAGGGGATATGACACATCAGGACAGTCAGTTTTGGGCGTGGGCTAATCCTATGCCCCCATCATCTCAGCTAGTGACAACGTGAATGCTACACATCATGGAAGAGGGATCTATCGCACAAGAAAGAAACGAGCAGGCTCAAATCTCACATGGCTACCTATATGCTCTATCTCAAATTCTGCTACCCTGAACTATATGCATAAACGACTGTTAAGAACAAGTAATCAGATCAAGTCAGATCAAGTCACAGTTGGCAAGCAAACAGTTGAAAAACTGAACCCCTACATCGTTCTACTGCACATCTCAGTCCTCATCATAGGTTGTCCTAGTCGCAAACAAGTTGTCATGCATTAATCCGAAAACCAATCAATTCATCCATCAAAACACAGTGCCAATATGATCAAACAGCAGTACTTGGAGCCCTCAAATCGTAAGATTCGGACAGCGGACTAGGCTCGAAGCACCATCATACATATTCCAACCGATACAAAGCATCCCCCCACACTTAAGAACGACATTGCCCTCAATGGAGCAGAGGGAAAGATAAGGGGAACGATGTTACCGGGTAGGAACACTGCTGGGGGACTGGAAGTGGACCAGTCGGCGAGAAACGAACGGGAGAGTGGACAATGCTGCACAAATCGAACATCAGAAACACACTAGCACACTGTGCGTTAGGGATAAGTGTTAGCCCAGACGGCTACATCAAACCACAAAGGAAAAACCAAAAACAAAAACAAACGACACTAAGTTCAAGCTCCGCACACATGGAGCAAACACACAAAAGTCTAAAATGAAAAAGAAAACACACAAAACAAACACACTGAGACGGACAACGAGTACAGCCTACTCGTCTCCAAGATCGTCGAGGTCGATGTCGGTCATGAACGCATCATCATCAGCAGCGCCAGCAGTTCCATCATCACCGTCAGCTGAAGCAGCCCCGGCCGCACGGGCAGGCGCGCACGGCCGTGCACGGCGTGCTTCTGCCCGTGCAGGCCGACACGGCCTGGCCGAGCCGAGGCGCACGGCCGTGCACCTGTCGCTTTTGGCCGTGCACTCCTGGCCGAGAGCTCGCACGGCCAGGCCAGGCATAGCGCACGGCCGTGCAAGTCTAGGTTCTGGCCGTGCGACTTGCTGGGGTCCCGAAATCAACCTCGGTGGGGTTGCCTCCCCACAAGCGCTTCTTTACCGTCTTTTAGCTGGACGCCAGTATGGATGCTCAGGGAAGTGTAGGATCAGGTGCCTTCAAGAGTGGATCCACATCGCTCTTGAGGTACAGCTTCAAATGGTGGCCATGCACGCGACGAATGTGGCCACCTGCATTCGCCAGCTCGACTTGGCCATCCGGCAGGATGCAAGCGAGTGAATACTCGGATGGCCAAGGAGGGGGCGGGACCAGCTCATAGTGGTCTCCGGCTTTCTTTCGAGCAGGCTTAGCTGCCTGCAGTTTCGGCCGCCACTCCTCCTTGATCTGTTCTTTGGGTGACGGAGTGGTCCGGAGTGGCGGCGAAGGTGTGGGAGGCGGTTCCTGCAAAATGGGCAGCACAGAAGGATACACGACAGACTCGTGCTCTTGGTGAGATACAGCATGAAGAGGTGACGAAGCAGGTATAGTATCAGCAACAGAAAACGTTATTCGCTCCTCGCCAGTGGGAGGCGGTTCCTGCAAAATGGGCAGCACAGAAGGATACACGACAGACTCGTGCTCCTGGTGAGATACAGCATGAAGAGGTGACGAAGCAGGTATATTATCAGCAACAGAAAACGTTATTCGCTCCTCGCCATCCCTCAAAACTAAGGTCCCATCATGCACATCTATGAGAGCCTTGGCGGTGGCCAGGAAAGGCCTTCCCAGTATAAGAGGCACTTCTGTGTCCTCACTGATGTCCAAGATAACAAAATCCACGGGATATGTGAATTTGCCAACCTTAACCAGAAGGTCTTCCACTATACCCCTAGGATGCACTACAGATCTGTCAGCTAATTGAAGGGTCATCCTAGTAGCACGGGGTTCACCTAGGCCTAGTTTCATGAACAATTTATATGGAATAACATTGATACTAGCACCTAAATCCGCCAAGGACTTCTCTACATGCAATTTATCAATAGAGCACGGGATAGTAAAACTACCTGGGTCCTTCTTCTTCTGCGGAAGCTTGTTTTGCAGAATAGCCGAGCATTCCTCGCTGAGCTCTACCGTGGCCAGCTCACTCAGCTTCTGCTTCTTTGAGAGAAGCTCTTTCAGAAACTTCGCATACTTTGGCATTTGCGATAGTGCCTCCAGGAAGGGCACTTGGACATTCAGCTTCTTAAGCATGGCCATGAAGTTCTCGAACTCTGCCTCCAGCCTGTCTTTGTGCAACCGAGTAGGGAAAGGGAGTTTAGGGACATACTCCTTCACTACTGGTTGCGGTTTAGGTGCAGGCACCTCAACTTCCTTCTCTACTTCCTGTTCAACCACTGGAGCCGCTAAGACAGGGCTTTCTTCCTCCGGTTCCCGAGCAGGGGGATCAACAGTCATCTTGCCACTCCTGGTCATGATGGCATTGCAGCGCTCATTCGGGGTCGGCGGGTGAGGGATGGTCTGCCCTGGTAGAGTACCAGGAGCCCTTTGAGCCACTGCCTGGGCCACGCTCCCCAGCTGGGTCTGGATATCCTGCAAAACAGCCCGTGTATTCCTCTGACCAGCTTCCAGAGCCAGGAGTTGACCCGAGGCCTTCTCCATGAACTGCTCAAAGGTGTTGAATTTCTGAGCACTGACACTGGCAAGAGAACCCACCAAGTCCCGCAGTTCAGCCATCTGATCATTCTGCACTGGGGCAGCAGGGGCTGCACCTGGCTGCTGGAATTGCCCCTGTCTGGGCTGATATGGTGGCCTCTGGAAGCCCGGTGGTCCCTGTGGAGCTGGTGGTCTGGGATTTGGCCCAGTCCAGGAGAAGTTAGGATGCTGGCGCCACCCCTCATTGTATGTGTTGCTGTAGGGGTCATTGCGCCTGACATTGTTGATGAAGTTCACCTGCTCCTGGGGCGTGGTCGATTCCTTCATCGCCTGGCAGTCTTCCACCATATGATGGGTGCTCTCGCACCACTGGCAGAGCATCGCCTGCTGCTGTCCGGTCCCTGGAATCATCCCGGAACGATCGATAGCTGAGACCAGCTTCGATACTACCTGCACCAAATCGGATGACTGGGTGCCCACAGCATGCACACCCCGGCCTGGTGCTCTCCTCGATCTCCTGGCAGTGCCCCAATCATAACCATTCTCCGCCATCTCTTCAAAGAGTTGATTCAGCTGTGGCGGGGTTTTGGTTAGCATGTTCCCGCCACAAACCGAATCGATCAGCTGCTTGTCCTCCGGGAAGAGGGCGTGATAGAAGGTGCCCACCTTGAACGCATCGTTGAAACCATGATTTGGACACCTGAGGAAAAGACTGTTGTACCTCTCCCATGCATCCCTGATGGTCTCATCCTCATCCTGAACAAAATGTGTAATTTGCTTCTGCAGGTCAGCTGTCTTGGATGGAGGATGGTAGCGGGTGAGGAACTTGTCCGCCAGGTTGGCGAACGTGGTGATGGAGCCCGGAGATCGAGTGTCTAGCCACTCCTTGGCCTGCCCCTCCAGAGTGAATGGGAAGTACCTCAGCTGGATGGCATCTGCTGGTACCCCATTGATCTTGATTCCATCGATGAGCTCGTGGAATCGCCTGAGATGTGATCGAGGGCACTCTCCCTCCTTACCACGGAACACTACTGAACCGCGCAGCATGGTGATCACGGAGGTGCTCACCTCAAAGTTGTTGGCTGGGACCTGAGGGTGCTGAATGGGTGACCTCATGTCCGCAGCCCTAGCGGTCCAGTAGGAGCCCATGGTCTGCTCCTCGGGGATCACAGCATGGTTCCCTGGTTCAGCCATCTCTTCTTCTTCCTCCTCTAACTGCAGCTGTGATAGCGCCTCCTCCGCAGCCAGTCGCGCCTTTAGAGCCCGCTTGAAGTTTCTGCAGGTTCGTTCAAGCTCTTGGTCTAGTGGTAGTAGATCTCCCGACTGGCTACGGGTCATGCACTACCTGCACACTATCAGCAGAAACAACCCGTGAAGGCACACAGGTGGAAGAAATAAAAAGCAGAAAATAAAAGCTAGAGTAACAAATTCTCACGTTTCCCCAATAACCTAGAGGGTCCCCGGCAACGGCGCCAAAAACTTGACACGCCAAAACACAACACCAATCTGCGACCAAGTGTAATCGCAGACCGGGAATGCAGTAACAGGCAAGTTATATTATCAACCCGGGGTCTAGATCTACTGCTTACTCAGTGATTCTCTGTTATCTAGCCAACTAGAGTAAGTGATTGTTGTTTAAACTAAAAGCAGAAATAAAGCAGGAAATTATTCGGTTTTCTTAAGCAGGAAAGAGTCACTCGGGAATGAATCCCCCTAGCTCTTTAGTTAGGTTTCAATTGCAATTTACCCTGGGTTGATTTACTGTTGATTAGACTGCGGAAGATCCGGCAGTAGCTTGGAATCTCTTAAGCTGACCAAGCCCTCTCAGTCTAACTACCCGGCAGACGACTAGTCTTCACCGGGATAGAAAGCTGAAGCAGTAAGAACAGAAATTCACTACTGGAATTAGATTCCAGTACAAAGCAGTAAATTGATTGACTCTCGCACAACCAATTCACCACTATCAATCAAGGAAGCTCTCTTAACCTAATCAGATTCTATCTATCATAGGTTAAAGCAGAAATCAAGAGAATTTGATCAAGATTCAATTGACTCAATAAAGCATGTCTCAATCGATTAAAACCAAACAGTAATATCATCCCAAGTCATTACAATCAATCCCTAACACATAGAACTAGGGTTCTTCATCCCCAAGTGAGAGAAGGGTTCTACTCCATAGAGAGAGAAGAGAAAACAAGAATCGGATTAGTCATACTCATAACGATGAGGATAATCTGCTCCGGGACGATGATTTTCACTCCTATGACGATCTCCAGGCTCGATTCGATGAAATCCAGCTCTAAGACAGCTTCTAGGATGTGTTCTTCGTACTTTCTCTCTCTAGGGCTCTGTTTTTGCTCTGAAAAACACTGTTCACTCACTTCTGGCTCGGATTAGGCTTTAAAACCGGGTTTTCCCGAGTTGCACGGCCAGGGTGCACGGCCGTGCACCTCACCATTCTGGCCGTGCACCATGAAACGCAGCGTATCCCTTAATTGAACTCAGGCTTCTTGCACGGCCAGGTGCACGGCCGTGCAATCTTCAGGGCCTGTCCGTGCAGTTCCTCGGCATGAGGCGCACGGCCAGCTTGCAACCGTGCACGGCCGTGCAGCCCCTCTGGTCTGCCCGTGCAGCTCCCAAAAACCTCGCCATTCGTCCGTTCTTCGTCCAATCGACCCCAGACTCGCTCCTAAGCCTTCATTCACGTACTAGGACCTGAAATATGACAAACAAGCACAACCTAGCGTGAAATCGGCCTAAAACACGAGAAATCACATCTCAAACGGTGTAAGAACAGGGGTAAAAACATGTGTAAATAACGGTCTATCAACTACCTCCAACCCTCACATTACATTTAGCAGAAACAGCAGAGAACATGTAAAAATCACTCTGTGGAACCTTCTAAAAGATGCAAAAGGGTGACTTTTCATTGAAGACCGAAAGAAAGAAAACACACGGCTCAAAGGGGCTGACTAGGGGTATGACACACCAGGACAGTCAATTTGGTCGTGGGCTAATCCTATGCCTCCATCATCTTAGCTAATGACAACGTGAATGCTGCACATCATGGAAGAGGGAACTATCGCACAAGAAAGAAACGAGCAGGCTCAAATCTCACATGGCTACCTATATGCTCTATCTCTCGTTCTGATTCCCTGAACTAGATGCATAAATGACTGTCAAAAGCAAGTGATCAAACCAAGTCACATTTGGTGAGCAGACAGTTGAAAAACTGAACCCCTACACAATTCTACTGCACATCTCGGTCATCACAATAAGTTGTCTAAGTCCCACTCAAGTTGTCATGTATCAAGTCAAAAGCCATTCAATTCACTAATCACATCCACAGTGCCAATACGATCAATCATCAAGCAAACAGCCGTGCTTGGAGCCCTCAAATCTCAAGATTTGGACAGTGGACTAGGCTCCAAGCACACACATATATATGTTCCAATTCATACAAAGAACCCCCCCACACTTAAACGCGACAATGTCCTCAATGGAGCAGGGGAAGGGGAACGATGTTACCGTGAAACAGTGGTCAGGAACGTTGACTGGATGGCGGACCAGTCAAAAGAAGGAGGCACAGAGCTAGAGACAACAAAAACACACACACTGGTGATAGGAATCAGAGTACCAAGTCTACAATCCAAGATAAAAAAACAAAACAAAACGAAATCACAAAACACGGAGTCTCTGTCTGGAACACAAATAAAGCACAAAACCCGCTCTAGAAGGCATCACCACCATCGCCGGTGGGTGGAGGGTACTCATCCTCAAATCCTGGGGACTGCACGAACGGGTAGTGGACCGCGTTCGGGTCCAAGCCCAAGTAGGACATGATGTAGTGCTGCCTCGACATGAGACAACGCCCTCGGTCCCGCTCACGATCAAGGCAGGTGTGGATGCGCTCCTGGCCAGCCATGATGCGCTCATTCTGCAGAGCGATCGCCACCAACTGGTCGGAGATGGGCACCACCACTGGAGGAGGTGACCCTGGAGAAGGAGACCGGGGGGCAGGAGAGGGGCTCGCGGGAGCCTGGGCACGACGGGGAACGCGACGGGGAACTCGGCACCCACCAGCGGCGCTCGACTCGGCCTGGTCGCCCTCGGCAGGTATAAGTGGCTGAGGAAGGCCCGCGATCCAGCGCACAAGCCCGAGGCGAGCAACCAAGTGCTGGTGGCGGAGAGTAGGCTCGCCGAGTGGGGTTGCTCCGCGGACCAATGTCATCCCTGTGTAGTCCACCCCGTAGTTGCGGGCCAAGGCGGTGATCACCGGGCCACAAACGAGGCTTCGAGTCGTGCTAATGGCTGCCTTAGTGAACGTCCGGGCAAGCACAGAGCCCAGCTGGATGGTGTCCTCAGAACGACCCATCGCATGCAACAACCAGAGAGTCCGGAGTGTGACCCGGTTGGACGAGCCCTGGCTGGGTGTGTAAGAAGTGCACATCGGGTGGTTGAGGATCCGCCACTCCGGACGGAGGAGAGCAGCCCGCGTCTGGCTGGCCACGTACTCTTCATCCACACTGTCCGGCAGGCAAATGCTCTGAAAGTACGCCTGGCAAGCGAAGTCGGTGGGATCTGAGAGGTCCAAACGTAGGGGCGGCCCGCCTGTTGCTCGGGAATTGAGCCGAAGGGCATTGGCAAACTCCCAATAACTGAGGGAGTGCTCCACCCCGCCGAGGGTGAACTGAACTGCATCAGCATGGTCGGAGTTCCCCTTTGAGTTGTGGTGGAAGGTGGCATAGAAATCCCAAACCAACTCCTTGTAGGTCGGCTCGGCGAGGGTGAGAAGACGCCGCCAAGCCTGGGAGCGGACCGCGGCCATCATCTGTGGCCTGGCATGAAGCTCCTCGAACACCTCCCAATCGAGGTGAAAGTGCTCGGCGATGTTGCGATCACGGAGGTTCCGCAGCTTATGGCGCTGGACGATGTTCATCTGGTCGAGATAAACCTCCATGGTCCTGCAAAACACAACGAAGGACAAAGTGTACACAAGCAAACGGGGTCAATGTTAGGCCAAAACCACACCGGGAGCCCTCATATCGAAAGATATGGACAGTGGACTAGACTCCCGGCCACACAAACATACCCATCATACGAGATTTACACAGCAAAATACACCGGGGACCCTCAAATCGATCGATTCGGACAGTGGACTAGGCCCCCGGTGAAACAAGCATACCACAACTATCCTAAATAGCACCAATCGAGGCATCACAGAAAAATCACATATCACGCAGGCCATTCAACATGCAATCAGCCCAATCATTCGCCAAACCCGAAATATTCCCAAACCATGCATTCCACAATCAAAAGTTCTTCACCTAACTCTAGGTATCGATTCTCCATAAATATAGGAAAAGACAAGGAGAACACACCTGGAGACGCAAGAAGAGACCACGAGAGAGGTGAAGAAAGTGGAAAGAAGCACCCAAAGTCGTCGGAAAACACACCGGAGACTCGCCGGAAAACTCACCGCCGGCGACTCAACCTCGGCCAAACCAGCCCAAAACTTTGGGGAAAGTGCTCCTCGACGCCAGGAGCGTGGGGGCGCTCGCGGTTTGTGATTTGGATGTCGGGAGAGGAAGTTAGGGCTGGAAAACCGAAGGAGAAGAGGAGAGGTCCGATTTTCAGGCGAAGGGGGGCGATTGGGGTTTGAAAAAAATGAATCTGGAGGAGAGAGGGAAAAAAAATCGACTTTTATAGGGGGGAGGGAAAAACACGAGCCGGCTGGAACACGGCCGTGTTCTGCCTGTTCCCCGCCCGTGTTTTTACTGCCGCGGGCAGTGTTTCCCCCTTAGTAAAACACGGGCGGGCTCCTTGCAAAACACGGCCTTGTTTTCGAAGGGCCCGTGCCCGTGCTTTTTATGCCGAGGGCAAAAGGCAAAACACGGGCGGGGCAGGGCAAAACACGGCCGTGTTTTGACCCCCTGCTGCCCGTGTTTTTACTGCCGAGCCTAAAATGCATTTTTTTTCAATTTTCAATCGCAAACCACCAAGATTCGTTCGTGCCCCGGCTCTAAAATTCACCCAATCACACATTAAAAAGAACCTCCCGAGGCACGAAAAACTTTCCAGACTGACTCCAGACAGACTCAAAGACTCAAAAACCGACAAAGATGAAATAAATAAATAAAAACAAAGGTAGAAATGCAAACCGTGGTGGGGTTGCCTCCCCACAAGCGCTTCTTTACCGTCTTTTAGCTGGACGCCAGTAGAGGAACTAAGGGTCCTCGAGCTTGATCAGCAGCTCTGCGCGCTCGACGGCACCTCCCAAATACAACTTTAGGAGGTGGCCATTCACCTTGAATGGCTCGGTTTGAGCATTGCTGATCTCCACCGCACCGTGCGGGAAAACTTGGGTGACCGTGGAGGGTCCCGACCACCTCAATCGGAGCTTGCCCGGAAAGAGTTTCAGGCGTGCATTGAAAAGCAGAACACGATCACCTACCTGAAACTCTTTCGGACCCCTCAACCGAGCGTCGTGGAGACGCTTGGTGCGCTCCTTGTAGAGCACGGTGTTCTCGTAGGCGTGGTAACGCCACTCCTCCAACTCCAGCAGCTGCAACTTACGTTCTGTGCCTGCAACACTCAAATCAAGGTTTAGCAGCTTAATGGCCCAGAAGGCCTTGTGCTCTAGCTCTACCGGCAAATGGCACGCCTTCCCATAGACAAGCCTATAGGGATAAGTGCCAATCGGATTATTATAGGCAGTCCTATACGCCCAAAGAGCATCATCGAGCTTGGTGGACCAATCCTTGCGGGACTGATCCACCGTCTTTTCAATAATTCGTTTTAGCTCCCGATTCGTCAGCTCGGCCTGCCCATTTGACTGGGGATGGTAGGCCACCGACACCTGATGCTTAACACCATAGCGAGAGAGGAGTTTAGTGAATTGCCCTTGAAAATGGGTTCCTCTATCATTAATGATGGCACGGGGTGTCCCGAACCGGGAGAACAGCTGCTTCAGAAATGAGCAGACCCGTCTTGCATCATTGGTGGGCATGGCTTGAGCTTCTGCCCACCTCGAGACGTAGTCTACTGCAACCAATATGTACAGATTGCCAAAAGATGGAGGGAATGGGCCCATGAAATCGATACCCCAAACATCAAAAATTTCACAAACAACAGAGATATGTTGGGGCATCTCATCCCGGGAAGAAATGTTACCTGACCTTTGGCAGCGGTCGCACTGGCGTGCAAAGGAGTCTGCATCCTTGAAGAGCGAGGGCCAATAGAAGCCCGACTGTAGCACCTTCCGCGCCGTGCGGTTACCTCCATGGTGACCTCCAGTAGGTCCCTCGTGGCATTGAGACAGGATGTCTCCCATCTCGTGCTCCATGACACAGCGCCGGATCACGCTGTCTGCTCCGATTCTGAAGAGGTAAGGATCCTCCCAGAAGTAATGCTTCAGATCGGAGAAGAACTTGCGCTTTGCATGAGTAGCCATCCCCTTGGGTAAATGCTTGCCCACCAGATAATTGGCAAAGTCAGAATACCACGGGGTCACACTGTCCACCAGTGTCATCGCCAGCAATCGCTCACCCGGGAAGGAGTCATCGATCTCTTCCACGAAGTTGTCCACCGGAGGGGCTTTCAACCGTGAAAGATGATCTGCAGCAACATTCTCGGCTCCTTTCTTGTCCTGGATCTCGATATCAAACTCCTGCAGCAGCAGGATCCATCGGATGAGCCTAGGCTTAGCATCAGCCTTGCTCATCAGGTAGCGAATCGCCGAGTGATCTGTGTAGACCACCACATGGGAGAGCACCAGATATGGCCGAAACTTGTCAAATGCATACACCACGGTGAGGAGCTCCTTCTCAGTGGTGGTGTAGTTCTCCTGTGCATCGTTCAAGGTCTTCGACGCGTAGTAGATGGGCTGGAAGTGCTTCTCGCGTCTCTGACCTAGAATTGCTCCGACTGCATAGTCACTCGCATCACACATCAGCTCAAAAGGAAGAGACCAGTCAGGAGTTACCATGATAAGTGCATGAGTCAGCTTCTCCTTCAGAGTCTCAAATGCAGCTGTGCACTCGGGAGTGAACTGGAATGGTGCATCCTTCTCCAGCAGCTTGGTCAAAGGCAGGGCAATCTTCGAGAAATCTTTAATGAAGCGCCGGTAGAAGCCTGCATGACCCAGAAAGCTGCGAATCCCCTTCACAGAAACGGGAGGAGGTAGCTTACTGATCGTCTCAATCTTCGCACGATCCACCTCAATCCCCTGCTTGGAGATCTTGTGCCCGAGCACAATCCCCTCACAGACCATAAAATGGCACTTCTCCCAGCTGAGTGCCAGATTCGTCTCTTCACACCTCTTCAGAACGAGTTCCAGGTTATGGAGACAATGAGAGAAGGAGTCTCCATAAACCGAGAAATCATCCATGAAGACTTCCATGATCTCTCCAACCAGTCAGTCGAAGATCGCCATCATGCATCTCTGGAAGGTCGCCGGTGCATTACACAGCCCAAATGGAATCCTCCGGTAAGCAAAAGTGCCAAAGGGGCAAGTGAATGGGGTCTTCGCCTGATCCTCTGGTGCAATAGGAATCTGGAAATAACCCGACATGCCATCCAGGAAGCAATAAAACTCATGCCCAGCCAACCTCTCCAGCATCTGATCAATGAAAGGTAGGGGAAAATGATCTTTCCTGGTGGTGTCGTTCAGGCGCCTATAATTGATGCAGACTCTCCAGCCGGTCACGGTCCGCATCGGGATCAGCTCGTTCTTCTCATTCGGGACCACAGTCATCCCGCCTTTCTTCGGGACAACCTGAGTGGGGCTGACCCACTTGCTATCAGATATAGCAAAGTTGATCCCTGCATCCATGAGCTTCACAATCTCTGCCCGGACCACTGCCTCCAAGTTAGGAGACAATCTCCTCTGCGGCTGCCTGACTGGCTTAACCTCATCCTCCATCAGAATTCTGTGGGAGTAGAAGGATGGGCTAATGCCTCTGATGTCTGTGATCTTCCATGCCATGGCCCGGGCATACTTCTGCAGCAAAGCCACCAGCCTGCTCTTCTGCTCGGGTGTCAGATCCGAGCTAATAATGACCGAGAGCTTATTCTCCTCCCGGAGAAATGCATACTCTAGGTGAGAGGGGAGGGGCTTAAGCTCCAACTCTGGTGGCTCCTCCAATGATGTAGCGATCCGGGGCGAGATAGGGATCGGTTTGAATGGTATCTCTCGCCCCTCGATCATGGCCTCATCTAGCTCCGCGAGCTGCTCCTCCAACTGCATGTCCTGTGATGCCTGTTCCCCTAGCAAAAGACAACGCTCAAGGAAATCATCAGTACCCGCACTCGTGATGGCGAGTGCGGTCTCAAAATCAGCAACAACATCATAGTAGTCTAGATCATCATGGAGCTGAGGGTGTTTCATATTATCAGAAACAGAGAAGGTGATTTGTTCACCCCCAGCTCTCAAAATCAGTTTTCCACCATTAACATCAATAAGAGCCTTGGTGGTGGCGAGAAAAGGTCTACCCAGTATCAATGGCACATCAACATCCTCATTTATGTCCAAAATCACAAAATCAACAGGATATGAAAATGGCCCTACTGCGACTATCAAGTCCTCTGCTATACCCTTAGGATGCACAATGGATCTATCAGCAAGCTGGATGCTCATCCTAGTATCACTGGGTTCACCTAGGCCTAGCTTTTTAAACAGTTTATAAGGCATGAAATTTATGCTAGCGCCTAAATCCGCCAAGGACTTCCCTACATGCAAACTACCAATCATGCAAGGGATAGTGAAACTCCCTAGGTCTTTTCGCTTCTCTGGTAGTTTGTTCTACAGGATGGCAGAACACTCCTCGTTGAGCATCACCGTTGACAGCTCCCCAAGCTTCCTCTTGTTGGTGAGGAGATCCTTCATGAACTTGGCATACTTGGGCATCTTCGATAATGCCTCCACGAAGGGCATGCTAATGTTTACCTGCTTCAGCATTGCCATGAATTTGGCAAACTCAGTCTCCAGTCGGTCCTTGTGCAACCGAGTAGGAAAGGGAAGCTGTGGTACATACTCCTTCACCACTGGTTGCAGTTTAGGAGCAGGCACCTCAACCTCCTTCTCCATTTCTTCCTGATTAGCTGGAAGTGCTGAAGCAGGGGTCTCTCTCTCTTTTGCCCGAATAGGTGGATCGACAGTCACCTTGCCACTCCGGGTTGTGATGGCACTGCAGTTGGCATTCGGATCCTGCGGGTGAGGAATGGTCTGACCAGGCAAGGTACCAGGAGTCCTCTGAGCTACAACCTGGGCAACACTCCCAAGCTGGGTCTGTATATCTCGCAGCACAGCCTGCGTATTTCTCTGACCAGCTTCTAGCTCCAAGAATTGCTCGATGTTATTGAACTTGTTCGCACTGGAGGTGGCCAGAGAACCCACCAAATCTCTCAATTCTGCCATCGGGTCACTCTGTACTGGAGCTGCAGGTGCTGCCCCTGTCTGCTGAAATGGTCGCACCTGTGACTGAGGTGGAACTGGCCCCTGTCTGGGATGGTAGAGTGGCTGCTGTGGCTGCTGAAATTGCCCTTGTCTGGGCTGGTATGGGGGCCTCTGGAAGCCAAGTGGTCCCTGGAGAGCTGGTGGTTTGGGATTTGCCCCAGCCCAAGAAAAGTTAGGATGCTGGCGCCACCCCTCGTTATAAGTGTTGCTGTAGGGGT